TATTATTCTTGAGGCCGCTAAAATATTACAACATTTTACCGTAAAGTGTCATAATTGTAATCGCTTGGCACAGTACTCATTGATATTAAACTGCTCTGAAAGGCCAAGCACGTTTGGATGTTACATGTGCAGCACTCACGTTTATTTCATTAAATTATCACCTTATCACATCAGCAACTCCTGTTTCTCTGTTCTCAAATTTAAGATCTCTTAAAATAATAATGAAGAATTCTAATATACCATTAAAGACATTTATGTTTTATTGATCAAACTAAATTAAAGTCACATTGCAAAATATAAAGTACATGCTATAGCAGTCCCATACTGACAAACAGTGTTGGGCTCGTTACTCCAAAAATGTAATTTATTACTCGTTACTAGTTACTTTTTAAAAGTAATATTATTACTTTCTGGCAACAGTAATTAGTTACACTATTAGTTACATTACTTTTCCTTCACGTGTTTCTTCCCCATAAAATTCTAAAATGTTACTAACAATTTATTTCTGCCTCATCATTTGACCAAAATGATTGATAGTGACTTTTCAGTAAAAGTGTTGTATTGTGTAGCTTGAAGCTAATTGTAGCTATAACTTCTCTGTGACCCATTTATGATTATATTTCATGAAGTATTTTATCAGAAGAAATCACATAAGTTCATAAGATGTTTAATTATAGTAATATAATTAATATGGGGATCAGAGGGATGATGGTGTAATACCAGAGTAAAGTAATGCCACAGCTTCCACATCAGTGCTCAGATCAGCTTTTCTCCTGAATAAATCAGCGTAATGCCAATATTTCCATCCCCTGAATGTAAGCTTTTCCATATTCCAAGCTTTCCTGATGCACTGGTGACGTCATGTGCGAGTCGTGAGAATTATGAAAATAAATCTAGCAATTATTGGATTGTTGGATTTCAAATCAGTAGGGGTTGAGGCATCAAAAGTAACTAGCTGTTTTATGGATGGTAATTGTAATCTTAATAGTAATTAGTTACACTACTAGTTACTGCAAAAAGTAATATTACTGCAACTAGTTACTAGTAACTCGTTACTGTCCAACACTGCTGACAAAACATCTTTAGTGCCACTAATGCAGTGGATTGTGTAAAAGTAATCAAAACATCTAATTGGCAGGGCAGTTGTCTTTACAGTCCAAGGAGAAAAAAAAACCTGACAGCTCAACATAAAAAAAAAAAAACACTGTTGGCCTGTTGCCATGTGAACGCTCATACCTGATACCCCGTGTGAATATTTCTATTTTTAAGTGTCCTTGATGTGAACATTAGCATCTGGTGTGAACAGGCCTTACCCGACCACAGGCCACACTAACAGATGATTCTTCACATACTTTTCCACAAAATGTAGATTTTCAGGTCACTTCAGGCTGATTGAGAGACTAGTATCTGCTTAGTCTTCCTAAATCAAAATATACACTAGTGCACGGCTGACCAATCAACCATCAGCTCGTGTTTGGACTTCTGCATGCCACATAATGCCAGGAATGTTTTGAGAGGGTTTTGGAAAGAAAACACAGGTGAAGGCACTGTGCTACGTGTGTACGATAGACTGTGCAAACACCTTCCATACGGAGAAAACGGCCAAGCCATCGCAGTGCGACCCTTTCAACAGCCAATCACAACAGAGGAATGGAAAAGTGCCATATTACAATCTCCTCCACGTCAGAAAGGATATGCTTTTAATAAAAGACGCACCTGGTTCTGAGTCTCCAGCCTGTGAGGTAAAAACACGAACACATACAAGCGTATTTCCGCTCCCGACAGCAAACTCAAGGAGCATTCCTCAGCAGCGGAGCGATCATCCAAACGCACGGAACATAAACAGCAATATAAGAAAATCACTGTCCAGAGAGCTCAGCATTATATGATTATCTAATGATGCTGCATAACTAATGTCAGTTTGATTACAAAGTGAACCTGAGCCCACATAACATATAAGCCTAGTGTTCGTCATTTATTTTTAAATTTAAAAAAGAATGAAAGCATGAAAATTTGTATTGAATTATTTACAGCAAATGTGGAGCCAATTGGATATTTAATTCTTAAATTAATTTTTGGGATGAAGTGCTGTCATTGGAAAATGTACAACTTTTAGAGTTCAAATAAAAATGGTTTGTTTCTTTCTAGAAACAGGTAATTAATAGGATTTATTTTCTCGCCATTTACAAACTATGAAAACAATATTATGTATTTAAAAAAGAGAGATTTCATATGCACATGTATCTATAGCAAGTGAAGGATATACACCAGGGGTCTTCAACTAAAATTGCTTGAGGTCCGGACATTTATATAGGCCTACCTAAAAACATGAATTGACAGTTTTTGCCAGACCAGGGTATCTGCAGGATATTTAAGCTCATATTTAAGACCTGCACAAATAACATTCAAATTACTGTAAAAAGCATGATTTAGGGTTCAGATACAGGTTTTCACAAAAACAATTTTTTTTTTTTTTAATGATTAACAATATTTTCAGCATTTAAACCATTCTTTTTTAAATGGAGGCAAAAGTATAAATTATTATATTAATTTAAACAATTACTATCAATCAAATATTATAGTCTATTAATTAAATAACATATAAATATTTGTAACATAGTATATATTTTTATAATGCATCATCTTCTTGTCGATCCACTAGTTCACATTTACAGCTCTGTGTGTTTGCTGCATAAAAACGGGTTGATTTTCACATCGGTCTGAACAAAAACAGCAGACGGCTTTATTAAACTGCACACTGATTCTCTGCCAGCAGGAGGCGCTTTCGGAGCGGCAGACATACAGCGGTTTCCCTGGTTACGGCTGTAAACAAAGCAGCACCTGACTTTGAAATGCAGCGCTCGTGTTTATTCAATGAAATCATCGCCTTTTGAAGTTTAATCGTCACATTATGCTATATTGCAATTCTTGTCTTGCCGTACCCAAGTTTAAGACCTCCTGAAATCATAATTAAGATTTTCTTGTACCATTTAAGACTTTTTATGGCCTTACATTTGATACAACTAAATGTAAGACTTTCTAAGGACTTTTCACTCACTGAAAGTCTCGTGTGTCTGCGCCGTGCTTGTATGTGAATCTCTGTTAAAATGTAATTTATTCCTGTGATCAAAGCTTATTTTTAGCATCATTACTCCAGTCTTCAGTAGAGTATATCATTAGAAAAGATTTCTATTTTGAACAAATGCTGCTCTTTTTAACTTATTATTCATCAAATAATCCTGAAAAAAGCATCACAGGTTCCAAAAAAAAAATTAAGCAGCAACAGTTTCCAGCACTGATAATAAATCAGCAGATTAGAATGATTTCTGAAGATCATGTGACACTGAAGACTGCAGTAATGATGCTGAAAATACAGCTGCGCATCACAGAAATAAATAATATTTTATAGTACGTTAAAATAAAAAACAGTTATTTTAAATTGCAGTAATATTTCACAATTTTTCATTTTTTCAGCCATGATGAGCAGAAAGGCTTCATTAAAAAACATGAAAATTCTTACTGATCCCAAACCTACATATATATATATATATAAAACGGTCTTATAAGGAACAGTGCCAGTGACCTCCATTGCTCCTAACACTGCCACTAACATAAGAACACACTGAACATTTACTGACTGAACTCAATGTGCTCACAACTTCTTATTTTTATTTGTGAATGTCGCCCATTTACATTACTTTCACTGTGGGAGCAAAGTAGGCTCACGTTTAGAAAAGAAAACATCAGGATCCTGTGACTATAGGGTCTATAGAGCCTAAAATTAAGCTTGTGTCACTGGTTTCAGACAGAACGCAGACTTTCTTAAGGTGAGTCATAAGAACAGGTCATGATAAGAGTACAGAAACATCCATATTAAAAAAGGTTCCGATTAACCCGTTATGTTTGGTTATTGTTAAGTTTGTGGCATGAAATGAAAAAATCACCCTATCTATCTACTCAAGCGCACTTTAAGCTAACAGACCAAAGTCACTACGTCATTGGCAGCAGGTGTGAAGATCACTACCAAAGTTTTATCAAAGAGAGGCTGTTTTTTCCTTCTGGATTTGTTCTTCTCTGGGAACGCGGCTCTGATAACCTGCAGCATTATTGTGGCCTGACATTTCTCCTGTCAGCCAATAGGAAAGGCTGAGTTCTCCCGGCACTTAAACCCCGCAGCAGGAGGAACGCCTCAGTGAACCGGGTCGCTCCCCAAATGCCCGTAAATGTTGGTCTTTGCTTCACAGCTATTTGAAGAAAAAAAAAAGGTGGGTGGGGGGGGATCTCCGCCAAAGATTACATGGGACTTTTCAGGGGTGAACATATAGATTTTCCTGACGAGAAGGCCCTCTATTATCCTGACCTTAGCCAAGGCGAACTCTGGCAGAGGCAGCAAGCGCACCTTTCAGCTTGAGTGGCCAGGAGACTTGTCGAAAGGCTTTCTGAAAGAGAGGAAAGCTTGTTTACCGCGGCTATGACACGGCAGCCCTGCTGGGCGGGAAATGCAGGGCCCTGAACCCTGTTATTATTAACAAGGACAAAGAGAACAAGCCGGCCCCAGACCGGTTGCCAATGTGACATGTATGGATTTACTGCTCAGAAATTCACAAGAGGACACTCAGCCTTCAGACAGAAAGACCGAGACAGAGACGTGAAGGAAAGCAGAGCGCTAATGAAGGCCTGCTCAGATTGAGTGACCAATGTTTCGTGTCTGAGCGACATCACCGCATTAGGGGGGGGTTAAAGCGGCCGGCACACATGCACCTGGGCATCGAGATCAATACGGACCGGAGGGTGAGCACTAGAGCCGCCGACTGTCACTGAACCTTACACACCGGAGCGTCTGAAAGACAAAAACACTGACTAGATTAGTTTACTCCAGCTTTAAAAGGGAGGAAATGCTGGAATTAAGTAGAAGAGAGCAGGCTAGAGACAGAGAGAGAAGAGAGACATGGATGACTGGTTTAGTGAAGAGCGTGAGTTCTTCAGCAGTCTTCTCTCCTGCTGCCTCATTGCCTCAGCAGACAGGTCTGTGTGTGTGTGTGTGTGTGTGAGACATTGTTTGAAATTATACCACTTAACAAATGAAAGCAAACGTATTAAACATAAAATAGAATGAAAAATTCAGTTCTAAATTGGCTATGCTTCGGCTTACGAGCGAATAATAGCGTGTGCATCTGCATGTGTGTGTGTCTGACTGCTGAAGTTTCAGCATGAAGGAGCTCATAGCAGGTAGAGTCAGGTGTTGTCCTCTGACCGCTGCCCTCTAACTGACCTCCATCCTTCATCATCCACACACACGCACGCATGCACGCACACACACACATACACACACGCACGCACA